CGAGGGCTGCGCCACAGTGTCCCCGGCCGCGGACGCGGAGCTAGCGGCCTGCCACCTGGGCTCCTGGAGTAGAGGTCCTGCTCCACCGTTGGCAGTTCGAGGCGCTCCAGGTAAGGATTCCAGGCTCCGGGCGGAGCTTCCCAAGAAGTCGTCAAGCCCCATATCTGGTCTTTTTATTTTATTTAAATTTTATATTTATTTTGTATGTGTGTCTATGTGCATGGAAGTCAGAGGGCAACCTGCAGTAGTATATTCTCTTTCTATATGTGTGAGTTACTGGGTCGTCAGGCAGGCTGCAGGCCAGATGCCATGAGAACTAAAGGGCATTGTCTGGGGAGTTTATTTTTATTTTATTTATATATGTGTATGTTTGTGTGTGGCTCTGAGTTACAGGCGATTGTGAGCCGCCCGAAATGCGTGCTTAGAACCGAACTCAGGTCTTTGGAGGAGCAGTGCTTATTCTTATATTTTTGGTTGTGAGCCTGGCCTTTAACGACTGAGCCATCTCTCCAGCCCACAGCGCTTTGTTCTTTACAGCTCTGAGCCTCCTCTCCAGCCCCCCACACCCGCAAAATCACATTTATTCATTTATTTTGTATGTGTTTGCTTCTCTTTGTGAGTATGCACTCCTTTGGTACACTTGTGGAATTCAGTTCTCACCTTACCAGTGGGTTGAACTCAGGCCTTCAGACATAGTGGCAAGTGCCCTACCGGCTGAACCATCTCTCCAGCCTTTTTTTTTTTTTTTTAAATTCTGTGTATTGCTGCTTTACCTGAATGTATGTTTGTGCACCGACGCCAGAAGAGTTTGTCAGATACCTGAAACTTGACTTACAGACCGTTGTGAGCAGCCACGTTGTGGGTGCGGGGGAATCGAACATAGGTCTGCTGAAAGAGCAGCTAGTGTCCTTAATCACGGGACCATCTTTCCAGCCCCCCTGCTGGTCCTTAATTTTTTTTCTCACATCATGATTTTTTATTTATCCACTTTCTTGGATATTTGTGCGGGCTCGTGTGTCACAGAGCTGATGTTAAGGTTAGACAACTTATGGGAGTTGGTTCCTTCCCTCCTGCTCTATGTAGGTTCAACAGAGCAAACGCTGGTTGTTAGGCTTGGTGGCAAACATCCTTACCCGTAGAGCCAATCTTGCTGGTCCCACTTCTTTTCTTACAGGAGTTCCCCTGCCGTGGCCTCCCGCTGCCTGTCCCGGCTCCTCTGACGGCCTGTGCACCATCTATGAAGCTGAAGGACCGGAGTCGGTGGCCCCTACCCCTGGATCCCTTGAAGCGGAACCGGAGCCGGAGCCGGAGCCGGAGCCGGAGCCGAGGCCGGGTTCTGGCGGTGGGAAGACTACTGCTGCAGCGGGCTCAGGAGCATCCTCGCGAAGCCCCAAGTCCGCTCGCCTGGGTGAGCTGCCGCTAGGGGCGCTGCAGGCGAGCGTTGTGCAGCACCTACTGAGTCGGACTCTGCTGTTAGCTGCAGCAGAGGGTGCAGCTGCAGGCAGCGAAGGTGGTTCAGGAGGCGCAGGGGGTGGCGGTGTCCCGGGGGGATCCCGGGCTCCGCTCAGCGATGCCGAATTGGGCCGCTGGGCCGAATTGCTGTCTCCCCTGGACGAGTCACGTGCCAGTATCACGTCAGTCACCAGCTTCTCCCCGGACGATGTGGCCTCCCCACAGGGTGATTGGACTGTAGTGGAAGTGGAGACTTTTCATTGAGCCAGACCCCAGTCCTGCTCACCATACACATACGGCTTTAGAATCCACTCCTCTGGTTACACATCTTTTGTCTTAGTCTCCACTGAGACAACTGGATGGATTGAATTTTTTTGTTGTTGTTGTTATTTACCTCTGTCTCTGGGCCTTTATCTTTATTTACCCCTGTCTTTGTTAAACTGTCTTTGGGCCCAGGCCATGTTCCTATTCCTCCTTGGCTTAAGCCTGGAATGCACCCACACCTAGGCCTAGGCCTAGGCCTTCATTTGAGCTTCTCCTCTTTAGCCTAAGCCACTGCCTTTCTCTAAGGAGCCACACCACACCCTATGTTCAGTGGATAAATAGCCTCTCATACCAGTAGCCTCGTTTGCAGTAAAACCAGAGACGCTGGCACCTGTGAGCCATGGTGATAGGAGCTGAGAAAGAACCACACAGTTTGAAGGACCAGGCTACACCAAGCTGCTGGGTATACCTGACTAAGTTGGGAGTTATGGCTGAACTGTGTGACTTTTTTGCAGTAAGGAGGCTGGTGAGACAGCCTACAATGGCCTTGTGCTCTTCTGGGTCTCACTTCTAATAAAACTGTTAGGCTCAGGAAGGCCTGAGTGGATAAGTTGGTGACCAGATCGGGGAGCCACCAAGGCTCTTCTTACCCTGGGTACCCTTGCTACAGCCCCTTTGTCCTGTGTGTACCTTCTTTTTCATGCTTGAGAGTTGGACCTGGAGGATGAACTTGAGTGGAGAGGAATGGTGAGTCCTTGACTTCAGCTGATACCTCCTCCCTCTGTGATGGGCAGTGTCAAGTTGAAAATTGTAGAAATTACCTGAAAGGCAGGCCTCTTGGCATGCTTGCTTGGGCTGAGGTGGAAAACACCTACCCATTGTGGGTGGCACCTCTCCCTGGCTGGGATCCTGGACTGTGTGAGCTGAGAGTTGGGCAGCAGCATGCATTCACTGCTCTTTGTGACTTGCTGCTTCCAGCTCTGGCTGCCTGGACTTTCCCACAGTGATAGGCTGTACCCTGAAGTATGAGCCACAATAAACCCTTCCTCCCTTACATTGCTCGTCAAGGTTTTTTTTTTTTTTTATCAGTTAAAGGAAAATAAACCAAGATAATCTCCCTCTCCTTTCACCAAGGAGGCTATCGTGTTGAGGCAGTAACTCTCCCTGGCTTGCAGAAAGAACTACAAATGTAGGATTGGAGTGGACTGACCTGGCTACACCTGGTGTGTGTGGGGTGCAGAAGACGCAGGAGCTGACACCATGCTACTCTATGTATCACACTCATGGGGGCATCATTGCCTTCTCTTAGTCCTGATGATCTCGTGAGTTCTCCCCAGTTACCATCTTCACTTAAGTCTGCCAGTCAGAATTGCTTTCCATCTCCCACCTGGCCCTGGAGGCCCTAACCTCAGGCAAGACTCTTGCCCCTGCATGACATTCCCCCTTGAATGTTACTGGCCAAGGATCTCCTGCTTGGCACTAACACTGTGGGAGCCAAAATGGCGGTGTCCTTGTTGAGCCCCTTACCTCACTGTGTAGTCAGGTACTTGTCAGGCACAGACAACTAAGTTCTCTGTCCTCATCCTGAAGCAGCCACTTCCTAGCTTACAGTTCAAAGAGAAAAGGGTCCCATCTCAGAGGGCCACTGCTATCTCTGTTCAACTACCTCTGTTGTTGGGGCAGGGGCATGTGCTGGAATTAGCACTGAGATTTATGGCAAGCCAGATTTCTTCTCTAGCTGAGCCCTGGAGGGAACCCCAGATATCCTTGTTCTTAGATGTCAAGAGCTGAAAGCTGACTCCCCCACCAAAGACAGAGTTTCTCTGTGTAGTTATGACTGGCCTGGAACTCACTCAGTAGACCAGGCTGGCTTGCAACTGAGATCTGCCTGCTTCTGCCTTCCTAGTGCTGGGATTAAAGATGTCACCGTGCCCAGAAAAAAGCTGACTCAACACTGGGCAGCTAGAACCTCAAGGCCAGCTTCTGTGAGGACTTTTCCTCATTGCCAGGCCCCAGCTCAGGGAGCCAACTTGGGAACAGGAGTGTGTGGATGATTAGTGACCCCATGGGAGCAGTAGGCACAGTGACAGATGAGTATCAGTGTTAGATCTGTGGGAGTGGAATGAATGGGACCATTTGTAGGGAGCTCAGCTATTCTGACATGGAATCAGAGTTGTGTCCAGTTGCTCAGTGCCACTGGCAGTAAAAAGTTGTCTTTTAGTGCCCTTGGCTATACTTACCCCTCCCCCGCCACGAGCTGGAGCTAACCCTGGTACTCTTCTCTCAGACAACCCTCCAATGCAATGTCCCCATTGCCCGAGTCAGTTTGCTGTTTGATGCACTGGTCTGGTTACTGATCCTCAGTAGGGGATTTCCCATTCAATAGACTCACTTCTCAGCCTTCTCCATGGGCCCACCCTGCCCTCAGTTCAAACCCAAACTCAGATCCTGACTGGAGCAGTCACACACCATCTTCCTGGTCTCACCAAGATCTGTTCCTTCTTCCCCGATATCCTGGCTCCTCCCCAGACAATGCCCTTTAGTTCCCATGGCATCTGGCCTTTGTGCTTTTGCCCTCAGGGAAACCTCTTACCCTGCCTCCTCCAGGAAGCCCTTTTGATTTTTCTGCTCAGGTTGTCTACTTTGGCATTACATTAGTGGCAGTTCACTCCAACCCCTCAGTGCCCATTCCCATGACACCAGAGACTCCATAGAGGGTACAACACTCCACTGGCCTCCGCGAGTCTCCACTGAATGGATATCACTGGGCCCAGCTCTTCTTCTCTTCTTCTTCTTCTTCTTCTTCTTCTTCTTCTTCTTCTTCTTCTTCTTCTTCTTCTTCTTCTATTTTTCTCTGTGGCTTTGGAGGCTATCCTGGAACTAGCTCTTGTAGACCAGGCTGGTCTCGGACTCACAGAGATTCTCCTGCCTCTGCCTCTCCAGTGCCAGGATTAAAGGCGTGCACCACCACCACCCTTCGGCCCAGCTCTTCTTGAAGTTGGACTTTTGATTAGGCAAGGCTCAAACCCTCTCTCCATCCTTGTGGCCTTTCTCACAGACTAGCCACTGCATCTTTGAACTTCCAGAACACAAGGATGAGAGTTTAGCACCTTCTTGCTGTGATCCTCCCAGCCCTGTGCCTTGCTCCACTCATCAGCCCTTGTGACTGTGTAAATACACTTTATTTTCCATCTTTCCTGCCTGGGAGACATGGAGTGTGAACAGGCAGTGTGCAAAATGGTGGTGGGCAGTGTGGAGGGGCACATGAGGGGCACATAAGAGGGCCTCCTCAGGGTACCCTGCCCCGGCCCCCAGGCTTTTTAACACTTAAAGAGTGGACCACCAGGAATGGAGACTGAGCTGGGGGCCACCCAGGAAGCACCCAGGGATAGCTTGGGATGCCACTCTACCTGAGGCTCTAGGAGCACTGTGAGGGGGTCAGCCCCCAGGGTCCCAAGATGCAGGGATGAGGGATAAAGGAGCCTGGGAGCATCGATGGACTTTGGCACCATTCTCAACTCTGACTGGGCAGAGACCACGGAAACACTTCAAGAAGATAAGGGAGGTAACTGACTGGGAAACTCTGGCCAGAAGTGGGGCTAGGGACACAGAAACAAGTGGACTGAGGCTGAGAACTCCTAAGGAAGGGGTTCTCTTCCACAGCCAGCCAGCACGTGTGGTATTAGTATTCCCCAGGGGAGGATGGGGGCTCTGGGGTAAGGGTCTCTTCTTTGCAGCTTCTGCAGCACTAGAGAGTGGGGAGACACTGCCCAGGCCTGAGCTGGTTCCCACTGACTACTCACACCCCAGGTGGCCCTGCACACAGGATTGGGGGGACTTTGGTTTCTGCTGCAGGGGCCGTGATGCCTGCACCAGGCAGAAAAGCCCAGCCTGGCCATCTGACCCTGGTGGCAAGGGGGCTGGCTGTTCAAAATCACTGTGTCCAGAGAACCTGTCCTGGAGTGCAAATATCCAGTCCAAGTTGCCCCTCCTTCCTCAGACCCACTGCAGCTCCTGGGCCCCACCCAGCAGGGCCACCCTTGTCCCATAGGGAAGCCAACTGGGAGGAGGAAGCTTCCTGCTTAGCAAGTCCTGGGACCTCTGCACTTTCGGCCCTTGTCCATATTAGGAGAGCAACACCCTCCAGGTAACTGGCCTAGGCACCCCTTGAACTCAGGAGGGCCTGGACGGTATGGACCAAAACGGGTGAACACTGCTATGTAGGGCAGGCCTGCCAGTAGGCCCTGCCCTCTGTGCTGCCTCCTCCACCTGGCCCACGGTTGGCGGGAGCCATGGTGGCACAGACTTTTTTAGTACTGCGAAGCAGCAAGGTCACTGACTGCTGCTCTCTCCTGGCAAGCGGTGATTGCGGCCTCCAGGCTCCCAGAGAGTGGGCCCCCAGCCTCAGTTGTCCAGGCCTTGGTTGCTATAAGGCGTGGCCAGCTCGTCTGCATCGCTGTCTGAGCTACCTTCACTGTCTTTGGCTGGCCTTTCCAGACGTCGGAAGAAGCGTGCGTCCCGGGGTGACAGAGGGTAGAGTGGGTCCTGCAGGGCTGCGCCCACGCCCACGCCCACACCCACGCCCAGCAGCTCTTCGTCAGAAGATGGTAGGGAGTCTTCGTCTAGGTGCCGTGTCAGGCTAAGCCCATCGAAAGCCAGCGGGTCCTCGAAGGTTGGTGGGCCTTTCAGCAGCCGCACCTGGGGTGCGCGGGGAGGGGGGAGGGGGCACCCGCGCATTGGAGATGTAGACTGATGTACCCCTACAAAAGCCCGGCCATCAGGCACCCTCCTCCCTTGCCCTTCTAATTTCATGCTTCTTCCAGGTCCCTGCACCAGAGTCTGGCCTGTCGCCAACAACCCATGCTCTCACCTCGGCCTTCAGTTCCTCGATCTGGTCCTTCAGCTCACGGATGTACTGTGAGGAATCCGAGTGGTTCAGCTGGCCCTGGATGCGGCCCTCCTCCCTCTGCCGATAAGGCCGGAGTACTGGCAGTCAGAGAGCGTGGCCAGCCCAGGGGGACCACCCTCCTCCCAGCTCCTTCGGCTCACCTGGATCTCCAGCTCTGCGATGCGCTGCCTCATCTCCGCTACTGCAGCCATGCTATCAGCCTCCCGAAGACGCACCGCCATCACTTCCTCCTTGCTCTGAAATGCCGGAGGGGGGCGTACAGAGGTTGGGTTAAGGAGGTGGCAAGGTCGCAGGTGGGATCTGGGATCGTGGGGTCCCGGCAGGGGCTGCACCTTGCACTCAGCCTCCGCCTGCTTGCGGCGGCTTTCGCTGAGTTGAGTCTGGAGTCCCTTGTTCTGCGCCGCTAGGTACTGCAGCTTCTCCTGCAGAGCCGCACGTTCTGCCTCCACACGGTTCAGCAGGTTGCGGTGGATGTTGTCCTGGAAAGGAGGACCAGAGGGCACAGCATCAGGAGGGGGTGGTCACGATTTGCTCAAGGGGGTCCCTGTCCCCGCGCAGGCATGGCCTACCTGCGTCTCCAATTCCACCACGCGCTGCCGCCATTCGCGGCCATCGGCCAGCGCCTGTGCCTCGCGCAAACGCACGGTCATGAGCTCGTCCTGCAGCTCGCCCAGGACCAGCTTCCGCGGCGACTCCTTCCAGCGGCCACCGCGGGAAAGATGGGCCTAAAAGGAAGGGTGGAAGGGTTCTAGAGACCAGCCTTGTTCTCCGATGAGCCCCGAGGTACAGGCCCACCAGCTGCTCCAGGCACATACTGCTGGGGGCGCCCTCATCACCCAGCCCCACCTGCCAGGTGTCCGAGAGTTCCTGCAGCTGCAACTTCAACTCCCGCGCGGAGGCTACAGCCTCGCTCTCCCGCACCTTGAGCGCCTTAAGCTCCTCTTGGAGCCTGGCTACATTGTTCTCATCTGGCAGTGAGCTGTTTCTCTGCAGGGAGACAGCAAGTGAGGAACCAGGAAAGCCACTGTAAAACTCCATGCCTAAGCCGCACTAGCCATACCTCCAGCCTTTCTCGGGATCCTTTTCTGCCTGAAGCAGCTGATGAAGGATGATGAAGGGATGGTGACACCCTCGTCTACAGCACATCCAAGAGATCAGGGACTAAGCCCAGGGGAAAAGGACCCTCATGTGTAACCCTAGCCAAGGTTCATTATCTGCAAAATGGGTGCAAAAACAGCATCTACTCTCTCTCAAGTCTGCCTTGGGAAACCGCCTTAAACTGTGGTCTCCCCTAAATATTACTGTTAAATACATAATGCACTCTGGGGCAGCTAGGGTGAGTGCAGGTCTGCTCTTAGCTCCAATATTCAACCTTTTCAGGACCCATGACCAGTCCTGAGAACTACATCAGCAGGGGCTCACCCCGGTCTGGTCTTGTTGTGGAATATTATCTTAAGATGTGTTACACTCGTTTATGCTGTGGAACATTTGTGTAATGATGCAAAGATGTGTTGCATTCTTTTATGTTGCATTTGTCTAACTCCGTGAAACTGTTACTTTGCCTATATAAAACACCTGATTGGTCTAATGAAGAGCTGAACAGCCAATAGCAAGGCAGGAGAAAGGATAGGTGGGCCTGGCAGGCAGAGAGAATAAACAGGAGAAAGGAGGGATCAGGAAGCAAAGGAGATGAAGGAAGCAAGAAAAGAAGGGGCCAGTCACAGAGCAAGATATTGAACAAGAAGGAAAAAAAAAGATATATAGAAATAAAGAAAGGTAAAAGTCCAGAGGCAAGTTAAGAAAAGTTGGCTAGAAATGAGCCAAGCTAAGGCCAGGCATTTATAAGAAAGAGTAAGATTCCGTGTGGTTTATTTGGGAGCTGGGTGGCAGGCCTCCCAAAAGAGCCAAAGAGGAAAGACCTGGAGCCTCTTTCCAAAACAGACAGGTCTGGAACCAGCCTCTGTTCTGTCTTAGTGTGGAGAGGGCCTAATGATTGGAGGTGTGGTGGTGATCATGACATAACTTGGTAGGCCTGGTCTTTCCTGACCCTTGTTTAGGTCTGTATGTGGGACCAAAGACAGGGTCTAGGCCAGGCACATTTCCCTCTTGTGTGGAGGAGGTGTGTTGATGGGGTTGAGGCTTCTGGCCCTTACACAGCAGTAGCTGACATTGGGGAAGGGTTTTTTTTTTCTCAACATCAAGGACTTTGTGGCAGCTCCCAGGAGAGTTTTGTTGTAGTTGTTTGTTTGTTTGTTTGTTTAGACATGATCTCAGGTAACTCAGGGTGAAATCAGACTTGCTATGTAGCCAAGGATCGTTTGGAATGGCTGATCATCTTCTTCCATCTCCTCAGAGCTGGGATAACAGGTATGCACTAGGGATGGAATCTGGGGCTTCATATATGCTAGGCAAGCATTCCATCAACTGAGGTACATCCTAGCCTGAGTTGTATCAGCTCACAAAGCAGTTGGAGAGGCACGCAGGTCTGGTTGCCCACTTCCAGGGCTGCAGGCAGGAAAGTGTGGCCCTTAGTTTGCCTCTGGAGAGAAGATGCTAATGATCCCCTCCCCTCCCCGGCAGTCTTTCCTTCCCTACATCCTGCAACCTCAGCCCCAATGCACAGTGCAGTGGTGGGATACTCAGGCAGCTTATGAAGCTTGCCACACATTGTGATTTGACGGTGAGACTTAGGGCAGGGCTGTGCTGCTGTGTATATGAGCATGGGATGAGGGTTCCAAATTCTGTACCCTTAGATCCCTGTTTGGAGATGGTGGTGGTGTAGGGGACAATGCCTAGGGGCAATGGGCTCTAAAGCAGCATGGAGAGGTCTCCTCTTCCATGGGAACTGATTGACTGAGGGAGGGTTGGGCAATCGCCCTGGCTGCCTCTTGTTGGTTCTCTCTCTCTCTTCTGTGTGTGTGTGTGTGTGTGTGTGTGTGTGTGTGTGTGTGTATGTTATGCACATGTGTGTTATGCACATGTGTGTATGTGTGTATGTTCGAAGAGGCCTGTCCCATCACTTTATCACTTTGCCTTATTCCCTTTGGATAGGATCTCTCATGGAACCTGGAGATAGTCTAAAGACCACCTAGCCAGATATCCTCCCATCTCTTCGCCACAGTGCTGGGATAATAGGTGTATGTGGCCATGCCTGGCTGCTGAAGCTTCTAAAAAATCACTGGAGACCTTTGTCGCTTTTCACAGCCATACCTTTTCCATGTCCAGAACCTTGTCCTGCATTTCTCGAAGGGCCCCCAAAGTCTCTGTCTCGCGTAACCGTGACTGCTCCAGCTCTGTCTCCAAGTGGGCCACAAAGTCCTCTGTGAGGCGTGGGTTTTCCTGAAGACAAAGGACAGCATTGGTCCCTGGTGGAGCCTATTGCATGGTGGACAGCTTCCATGCTAGTGGGCAAGAGGGCCTGGGCTGGAAGAGGGTCTCAGTTTTTAGGCATCCTGGCTTGAATCCATTCTCTGTTCATGGCACTTGGAGGCAATGGACCTGACTTGGCTACTTTCCAGGGAAAGCCACACAGAAGGAATGTTGGGAATGGAACTTTCCATGACTTTGGGCTGCCTTCTGAGAGCCTCCGAGACTCAGTCCCAGGACCACAGGCTGTGGGTAGGGCATGTGCTCCTGCAGTGTGGCCAGTTGTGGAATCATACACATGGGCATGGTCAGGGACCACGGGCAGGGTTGGGACCTTTCTACCTGTCCCCCTCAGGCCCCACTTCAAGACAGGGAAGAATGGGAAGGAAGGAAGTTCCCTTTGAGCTTCTGGGTGGAAACCAAGACCCTCTCTTTCTGTTCTGGTGGTCTGGCAGGGAATTCCTCTAGGGGACCACCCCAATTTGGTGCCCAATCTGGTCTTGGCAGGCACACCCTTCTCCAGCCACAGCCCCTATTCCCTGACCTCTGTCCTGTTAGGAACTCTGATTCTTTGTGCTAGCATCTCTTCCTGGTCAAGACAGACTCCAGGCCTTCTGAGGTGTCCCTCTTCTGGGAGACCTCCTCCTTTCAGTGCTCCTCTTGAGCCTGAGGACAACAGCTCTGGACCTGATCATCCTTTTCATAGCCCCATAGCAGGATTCAGAGGCTCTGTTTCTCAGAGGAACTCTACTGCCTAGTGTCAAGATAAGGCAAATCCACCTCAGGGTGGGAAATAGTAATCTTAGGCTGTCCTGTGGAGTCTAGGGGTGGTTAGCTGTGAGGGGAAGCAAATCCACACTAGCCTCTGGATACCCCTATCCACATTATAGATTTAGTCCCCAAGGGCCAGAAGGTAGGGGTGACACAAAGACCTATGGGAGGTGTGGTCCTTCCAGTCAACCCCACCCACACGCCTGGTACCTGCTGTTCCTGCAGCTGCCGAATGGTGCTCTGTGCCTTCTGAAGGTCCTCTGCAGTTGAGCTACACTGTTGTCTCACCACTGCCAGCTCCCGTTTGATGACATAGTTCTCCTCAGCCTCCTGTGCCCGTGTCACCTGCCCCTGAGCACAGTGAGGATGGGGGTGGAAAGGGTGCCGTGACTATCTGCTTTGGTCCCAGGCCTGGCCTCTGGGAGGCTCAGAGAGGATGAGAAGAGGGGTAGAGTGAGACAGGCATTGCCTTTGGTGCTCAGAGCCTGGGATGGGGTGTCCCACAGCAGGCCTCAGGATGTAGGGGTGGAGACAGGCAAGGACAGGCCACCTGAAGGATCCTGGGAGTATTGGACATTGTGGAGGTACTGCCAGGCTTAAGTGACAAATGCCCCCAACTCCCAAGCTTGAGCTCCTTCCCCATTCTGGCTGTTTGCCTCTGTGAGGTGGAATACACCTCTCCCTGGGGGCCACTTCCTCCACCCGCATCTCTCCCACCCAACTTGATACTCCCTGTCCCCCATTCCAGGCTCGGAGCCCCTGGGTGTTGTGCAGAAGCTTCTAGAAAAGCCATCCAAGGATGAAGCAGCAGCAGCAGAAGCAGGCAAGGGAGAGATGGTGATGGGATGGCAGCAGAAGCAGAAAGGAGTCAAAGGGTTGTGTGTGTGCCTGCAGTCGTGCATGCATGCCTGTGGGTGAGCACGCTCATGGAAGCTTAGCAGAACACATGTCAAGGCCTACAACCAAATGCTCTCAGAGTCCAGAGCCCTATTGGGGCGGCATCTGTTGCCCCTTGGTGGAGGAAGCCTGCTGTCTAGGCTGAGTGTAAGTTTTCTCCTAAACTCACTCCCACAAATGCCTCCCATCATGGTGTTTGTCTCCAGCTCACATGCCCCCTCCCTCAAAGCATTCGTCTCCCTCAAAGCTGCTCCCTCCATGCAAGTTGCCAGGCCTGCCCCTTGCCCCCAGAATGGCAGTGGCCAGGAAAGAGGTGGTTACTGGCTGTCTTGTGCAGGGACCCAGGAAGGGTCTGGGATGAAGAGTGCAGAGGTATATGGAAAGGCTACAGTACCTGGATTAACCTATCAGCCAAGGCCGCGCTCTCCTACCAGGCGAAGGGGGTTCCCAGCAACAGGGGAAGGAGGCAGAGCAGAAGGCAGGGGACAGGAGAGGGGGAGAGACAGACAAGAACCACTTGTCACTAACGCAGTGGGCTACCTCTAGAAGCAGGGGAGAGAGGAGTGAAGACCAGAGAACCAGCAGAAGAGGACCCGGAGAAAGACCAAAGCCAGAGCCAGCTCCGTCCTGGAGGGGGGTTCATATGAGTGGGGAGGTCGGGGTGCACTGGGCTGAGAAAACTCAGTGGCAGGAATGTCTCTCTTCACTGTGTGAGGAGGAGGTCCCTGGGAGGGCTGGGACGGGGGATGCATTTTAATCTTGAGAGAAAACAAGAATTGAGGCTTTTGGTGTGGTAATAACATCCTCTCCATGGCCTACTGCCCCCTTGTGGTCGGCGAATAGTCAAAGGAGGAGCACAAAGGAGCAGGAACTGGGGCCCAGAGTCACGATAAATCACCCAAACCACCCCCATCCTTAATCTAGTAGGATTCAAGGTCAAGTCCATGCCTCTCCACCTCAAGTGGTGAGGCTCCCCCCCCCCTTCTGTCTCCCTTCCACTCTAGGGTGAGACTGACAAATTACAGGTTGGGCTTCCTTGTGGTCCAGTGACAGAGCTCATCCTCCCACCCATGTAGTTTGTGATTGCCATCCACTGAGTTGTAATTCAGCTGCAACCCTACGGGCTGAACTGAGATCCAGAGTGGAGTGGGATGAAGTCTTCAGAGAACCCCTAATAACAGGGCAGCCCAAATCTCAGTGGGGTTGGGGACGTTTGAAGAAAAGGCCACCCGTATATTTTGTTGAGACAGGGTCTCATGCAACTGAGCCAACTGGCCTTGAACTCCTGCCTCCACCTCCTGTGTACTGAGATCACAAGAGTAAGGCCTGGTTCCTCTGAAGAGGCAGACAGGACTTTTTCTGTCTCTCTCTGTCTCTCTGTTTCTGTCTCTTTCTCTCTCTCTTCCCCCTTCCCTTTCTCCACTCCCTTCCCTTTCCCCCAGTAAAACTTCCCACTTAAAAAAAAAAAAAAAAAAAAAAAAAAAAAAAAAAAGAGTAAGGTCTGCCCTATCCAGGCTTAAGTCAGCTGGTTCTGAAGGGAGCAATGGTCCCAGTCTTAATGGCTGCTGGGTGTTTTGAGGCCTGGAGATTTGGAACCCAGCAGCTGGTACCCACACTCCTCACCTTCTCTAGGGTCTCAATCCGTTGTTTGAGCAGTCGATTCTCTGTTCGAAGCCTCTACAGAGGAAGAGGAAGAACATTTCAGAGCATGCCCGAACACTTACAGGTACTTTTAATCCTCATTTACCAACCACAGAGGTCAAGGAAAGTCCCTTAGAGACCTTATGTTCTGGGTCAGAAATTTCAGAAGATGAGGCATATTCCTGTCTGGATGGCTCATTAAAAATACTGAGGACCTGCAAGGTGGCTTGTTGGATAAAGGTGCTTGCTGCCAAGCTTGATGACCTGAGTTAGATGCCCAGGACTCACATAGTGGAAAGAGAACTGACTCCCACAAGTTGTCCTCTGACTTTTCATATACATGTTATTGAACACACATACACAAAATAAAATAAAATTTAAAATTGTTTTAGTGCTAGGAGTGTGGCTCACCTGGTAGAGCGCTTTTGTAACAAAACCCTGGCTTGGTGGCATATGCTGTAATCCCAGCACTTGGGAGGCAGAGGCAGAAGAATCATAAATTCAGGCTCATCCTTGTCTACATAGTGAATTGGAGGCCAGTCTGGTCTACGTGAGATACTGTCTCAAAATATACTGTCTCAAAATAATTATGATTTTGGTTTTTCGAGACAGGGTTTCTCTCTCTCTCTCTCTCTCTCTCTCTCTCTCTCTCTCGGTTTTTCGAGAGTTTCTTTGTGAAGCTTTAGAGCCTATCCTGGCACTCGCTCTGTAGACCAGACTGGCCTTGAACTCACAGAGATCACCTGCCTCTGCTTCCTGAGTGATGGGATTAAAGGCATGTACCACCACCACCTGGCCAGGGTTTCTTTGTGTAGTCCTGGCTATCCTGGAACTAGCTCTGTAGATCAGCTTGGCCACATACTTACAGAGATCTGCCTCCTGGGTTCAAAATGATTTAAAAAAAAAATCCAAACCTTCAGTAGAAACAACCCAGGGAGCTTTCACGGCATTCTCTCTCTCCCTCTCTCTCTCTCTCTCTCTCTCTCTCTCTCTCTCTCCGTCTCCTGCCCCGACCCCATGTATGTAAGGAACCATTAGCATCTACACTGTCCTCAGAAGTCTGCTTCTGCCTTGGTCTTTCAAGGGCAGAGGCTTCTGTTTTTTTGGGGAGAAGCTGATGCCAGGTAGTCCTGACCACCTTTTGCTTTGGCCCAGCAGCCCCTGAGTTAGATTCTGGAACAACCCCCCTCTCAGAACTTGGCTTTCCTGTGTTGAACACGTAGGTGGTCTTTGCCTTAATCTCTCTGAGGCAGGATTTCATACGTCCCAGGCTGGTTTAGAACTTGCTGTGCAATCAAGGTTGCCTTGGACTCCTTGATGCTGTTGCTTCCACCTCTTGAGAACTAAGATGGTAGATGTATACCATGATGCTGTGTATATGTTGTGATGTCAGGGTGTGGATAAAAGCCAGGGCACTTTGGAGACATTTCCTTGGTTATTATACTCCTGCCCCCTGTAGTCTTGTTAGATAGTTATATATTACATGCCTGCCCTCTACAATCTTGTTACATAGTGTAGTCAGTTTTGAACCCTAATCCTTCTACCTCCTGAGTATGGTAAGATTATACCATGCTTGGCTCTGTCTTCTGTTCCATGATGAGGAAATTAGGGTAAGTATCTGTGGTTTTAGGGTCTCTCATGATTCTCTAGGAAATTGATGTATGTAGATGTGCTGTAGCTAGCCTCCTCAGCCTCTTGGTTATGAAGAAATCATTCGTATTAGTAGATGATTGAGAGTCCTGTCTGGCTGTAGGATTTTAGTTTTCAACTTGACAGAACCTAGACTCACTTGGGAAGACAGCCTCAATGAAGAATTTTCTACATTGGGTTGGCCTATGGACACATTTGCAGGAGATTTCCTTGACTACCTTTAATTGATGTGGGAGGAGCCAGCCCATTGTAGGAGGTACCATTCCCCAGGCAGGGAATCCTAAACTGCATGAGTGGAGAAACAAAGCTGACCACAAGCAAGCATGCATTCCAACAGGCAAGCATCTCTTTGTTCCTGATTGGCTGCCATGTGACCAACTGTCTCAAACTCTTTCTGCTGTGACTTCCCTGGACGTAATGAACTGTAACATGGAATTGTTAACTAAAATAATTTCTTGTCTTAAATGTGCATGGAGTGACTACAGAGGCCAGAAGAGGGCATCAGACTCTTGAGATGGAGATAAAGATAGTTGTGAACACAGGTCCTCTTAACTTTCTGGCCATTTCTCAAGACTGCCTCAGTTTGTCAGAATATTTTGTCATAGCAGAAGACATGAAACTGGAATACTTGCTATAGGTTGGTTACACCTATATCTCCTGGGTTACTTCTGGGGGGGAGACATGGTGATAGAAACACCCAGAAAGCAACTGGAGCAAATCATGGATCTGATGGTCACTGACTCACATCATGTGTAAGGAGCTGAGTCAGAGAGAAGTGGAGCTCAGCTGAGCTTCCCAACTCAGTTAGGTCAGAACTGTTTAAGAACAAGGAGGATTAGGTCCCCATCCCTGGCCTGTAACTCCTGGATTGCTCTGACTAATCTGAACACAACAGGTCACTGCACCTAGCACCACCACCCACAGAGAAGCTTGGACAGGGAGGCCCAGCTGATGAGTCCCCTCTTTCCTGATTACCCAAAAGGGAAAGAAGGGAAGCAAAATGAATGAGGGGTACACAGGGTTGTACACTGACCACAGTTTACAAAAAGTTGGGAGTGTAGGCCTGGGTATGTAGTTTAGTTGGTAGAATGCTTGCCTGGCATGCTTCAAGCCCTTGTTTCAATGCGAAAGACCTTTCAAACTGGGTGCTTTGCACATGCCTCTAATCTCAGTATTCATGAGGTGGAGGCAAGAGGATCAAGAAGGAGTTCAAGGTCATCCTTGGCTATAAAGCAGGTTTAGGTCATATACTTGCTCTATGTGAGACACTGTCTCAAAACCTTTTTTTTCCAGCTGAGGATGCTGGCACACATCTGTAATTATAGTACCAAGGCAGGAGGATTGCAGATTTGAGGACAGCTTGTACTACATACATAAAGGCCTTGTCACAACAAACAAACTCCTTGCTTCTCACATTTTTTGGTTAAAGTTAAAAATGAAAAGCAAACAATAAAAAATAAGTAAATGAGGCTGGGCATGGTGGTACATGCCTGTTATCCCAGCACTGGGGAGTCAAGTTCAAGACCAGCCAGGACTGCACAGGAAGTACTCTATCTAAACAGACAAACAAACAAACAAAAACCAAAGAAAAAACCCAACATCCTTAAAAAAGTCTTGTATTTATGTATTTACACTTATGTTTATTTTGTATGTGCACATGCACATGATTGCCATGGTCCACCTGTGGAGAACATGAAAGAGTCAGTTCTCCCCTTCCATTGTGTGTGTCCTGGGGATCAAACTTAGGTCATCAGACTTGGTGGCAGTGACTTCATCCATTGAGACAACTTGCTGACTCTGAAAGTCTCTATATCTTATGATGCTTCAGCATCCAAGGCCTTGCTAGCTTGGGGGAGAGAATCCTTCCCAGAACTAGCCAATTTCTAGAGGGCAGGTACATTGTCATTTTTCCAACACAAAACCAACAAGTCCAGAACCTAAGTCCTCAACCTGTCTGATACTTACTGAATAGATACCACCCTTACTTCAAGCTGAGAAAATCACTCATATTGCCTACCTTGCCTGGTGCTGAGCCTGCTCACACACCCTGCCCTGATCTTATTCTTCCTTCTTGTAGAAAGCATGCTGAAGATTCTGGTCCATGCCTCCTCTATGTTCTCTGATATATTCTGTTTTTTTCCCTCTTGAAACAGTAACCAACTTTTCTTGTGTGTGTATATATGTGTATGTGCAGGCATGTGTGTATAAGCTCATGCTCTAGTGCACATACACATATGGAAGCCAGAGGTCAGCATTTAAACTATTATTTATATTTTGATAAAAAGTCTCTCTTTAAGACCTGGCAGGCCTGGAACTCACAGAAATTGGCCTGCCTCTGCCTCCTAAGTGCTGGGATTAAAGATGTGTGCCACTATGCCTGGCTCCAGCCTGGTCTGTTCTTTTGTTGAGACAGGGTTTCCTTTAGCCCAGGTTGGCCCCTAATTTGCCATATAGCTGAGGAAGACTGTGTACTCTTGATCCTCTCAAGTCCACTTCATGAGTCTTAGGATGACAAGATTGTGCCACCATGCCGGGGTTTGTTGGTTTATTTTGGGATAGTCTCACTACATAGCTATGGTTGGGCTGGAACTTGTTATGTAGACAAGATTGGCCTTGAACCTATAAATATCTGTCTGCCTCTACCCCCTGACAGCTAGAATTAAAAGCATGTGCCACCATACCTGTTCCACTTTAGTTTTAGAAACATGGTCTGAGCTAGACTGGCTGGCTAATGAGTTCCACAGATCTGCCTGTTACCTACCCTGACCCCAAGTTGCAAATGCACACCAACCTTGCCTGGCTTTTACTGTTGGGTTCTGAGACATCTGAACTCAGGTCTTCATGCTTAAGAGACAGGCACTTAACAAGGCATCTCCATAGCCTTACCTTTCCTCTTTTACTTGGAATGTGCCAATTAGGCTAAGCTGGCTTGCCAGCTAACCCTGGCATCTCTCTGCCTGTCTCTGCATCTCCAGGGATTGGGATTAAATGGAGACTACTACCCCTGGCCATTTTATGTGGGTTCTGGGGCTCGAACTCAGGTCCTCATGCTTGCACAACGAGCACTTTACCCCCTGAGCCCTCTTTTACTTTACCCTTTGCCTCTTTTTTCTTTTCCTTTTGTTCTGTGCTGAGGACAGAGCCCAAGGACTTGTGTATGCTGGGCAGATGCTCATCACTAAGCTACAGCCCCAGCCCCAATACATTCTTCTTTCAAAGGTAGTTGTCCATGCACTTGTCATCTTGCCTTACCCGATTCAAACAAATAAGGATTTTGTTTGGCTTTGTTTTGTGACAGGATTTCTCTGGCTGTCCTGGAACTCACTATGTAGACCAGGCTGACCTTGAACTCAGAAATTCTCCTGCCTCTGTCTCCAGAGGGCTGGAATTAAAGTTATGTGTCACCACTGCCCAGCATCAAATCAAATGTTTTAAAACAAGCTAAAGGTGAAAGACAAAACTGCAGGACACCTGTGCCCTATGTGATGGCATCTACCTGACTCTTCAAGGCCTCTAGGGAACTCTCAGGGGATATTTTCAGTTTGGCTTGTGGCCCCAAGGGTCTGTGGGCATATCTGTCAATTGCAGGCTCCTAGTCTGCACACAGCAAGAACCACATTTTGGTCTGGTGCAATACCTAAGCGGCCTTCCTTGTGAGATGATTCACAAACCCAGGATAGAAAGCTTTCTGGAACCCTCAAGCAGGGCCAGGTGTGTCAGCTTACAGTCACAGGTGGCAGGTGATTTGGATCATCTAGGCTCTGCCCCTGACTTTCTATAGGAGGTGGAAATAATGACCACAAGGTTGATAGTAGTAGGAACAGCACAGCAAAAGCCCCATTTTGCAGATGGGGCCTCTATGCTTAGGTGAATTCACCTGCTAGGGACATCAGTGCTAACCACTTTGACTCATCAACTGGAGAGGACAGAACCAAGTCCCTGTCTGTCCTATCTATACTGGGTGGCAGGGCCCTCATTCTTGGCCAGTGGGCTTTGAAGACATGTAACTAGTTGGTGGGTTGGAGTAGGTGGGGCCTCCCAAGGGTTAGCTGAGTATGAGCCTTCCTCTTTCATCTTCTAAATCCTGGCCCCGGAATGTATTTAGCAGGGCCTGGGGCTCCTTGGGGGAGGTGTAGGAGGACTCTTGGAGCTCAAGAGTGCTTTTATCTGGGAAGCCAGGTCCTTATCACTTAAGACCAGGTCTCTTCTTTGTTTCAATCAGTGTTTTTGGGGGTGAACAGCTAAAATCCCATGAAGAGGAGTGAAGCAGAGGGCATCAAGAGGTGAGTTTGGACTCAGGTTTTGTGTACTCAAGGGACTGATTCCGATGGGCTGGCAGATCAGCTACCAGCGCAACCAGGACCCCCTCAGTGGGCGCCCATACTCTAGCCTACTTCCTGCTTGCCTGAGCCTTTCTCCTCCTAGCCCCCAACCTCGAAGGCTCCCTGTCCTTTCAGCCTCCTGCCCACCAGGAACATCCCTGCTACCCTAGGCCCTCTGCACTGCACTCTTGGACTCGGCGTGTCTTCCCAGGCGCGTCTGGCTCTCTCTAGTATGATTATAACCAGAGCACTCTGTGGAGTTCACACTATTTCACTGATTTATTGACGCCCGCCCATGACAGGGGGTTCGGGGACACGAAGACAAGGAACTTTGACTGTCTCGTTTACTGTTGTGTGGCCAGCTCTGAGGATGTGCCAGTTAGGACAGGCGCTCCCACGCGGTGCTAGCAGATGAAGGGTCATCAGGAGCCTCAGGCTGTCTGCCCAGGCCAGCCCGGTCCATCCATGCGCTGGATAGGACTGCCCTCTAGCGGCCAGCTCTGGAGTTGCGAGGGAAAGCCTCCAGGGCGCCCATCTTTGCCCCTCCCCCATGCCTCAGGAACTCACTTTGATCTCGATCTGCTCTTCCATCTCCTTACTCTTCATAGCTGCGTACTCCTTCTCCAGCCTGTGGGGATAGGGCATGCGGTCACCGTCCCCGTCTCCCAGGATTGGGGAGGGCTTCCCTCTTAGGGTCTCCATTCCCAGGCACTGACCTCTTCATCTTTTTAGGGTTGTACTTGACCTGGTAAGCCTTGAGGACCAGCTTGTCCGGGCAGCTGTCAAACTGGTGGGGGATGACTCTCTGGAAGTACTGTGGGGATACAGGGAGTCACTGTCACATGGGTCCTGACCATCAGGGTCTGCCTGAGCTGTCACTGAATCCTGCTACTGCCTGGGGCTTCTCCTGTCTCTCCCCCTAGGCTGTTGACTTTGGCTACTCAGACAGCATCTGTAGTGCAAATGAATGACTGTATGAGAAGGAACAGCTGGGGAAGACGGGAAGGCCTGCCTTCCCAGGATGCCTTTGGGGGAAACTTGAGAAAATCAGGCCGGGGTGGGGGTGGGGATCAACTTGGCTAGTTGTCCAAGTCTGACCTGAGTTGCGTCCCTGAAGCCAACAGTGGAAAGAGAGAAGAGTTTGAACCCCAGACCCCAGAGTGGAAGGAGAGAATTGAATTGTGAGTATTGTGATCTGACCATTGGCCATGAGCCCTCCTCCCTCTTTCTTCCTCCCCCTAATCCCTACACTAACAATAATAATAATAAATAAACTTAGGTTAAAACAATCAGGCTAGAGGACCTTCTGAAGGCAGGGCTGGGATGAATGGGGTCTGAGCATGGGGGAACCTTCCTCAGGAAGGGGGCAGACAAGCCCAATGGACAACAGGTCCTGTTCCTCTGCCCAGCTGGCCCCCTCGGGTAGTCTTGGACAATGGATGCCCGTGTTCACAGACACAACTGTGGCTTTTGTGCATTCTTTCCTGAAGCACCAGCTGGAAGCCGCCGGGAGGGGGTAAGGGCCTGTGTGATAGGGAAACTGTGGTGAGGGGAAAGCTAGCTTCTGTTCTAGCAGACTGTGCCAGGGGCAGGCCCAGGCAGGCAGGGAGGGGCAGGGCAGGAGGCCATCCCTCCCATACTCCCCAGGCTGAGAGATGGGATGAAACCATCTTGAAAGTCTCCCAGTTCAGCCAGGGTTACTTTGCAAGCAAGCTTTGGGAACTGGC